CATTCCTGGTTGGACTCCTGCAGGTGAAGAGGTGAGCTGGTGATAGTTGGCTTCTGCTGGAGTCCCTTCATTGCCTGAAGGGCATCTCTCCATCACTTCCCGCAAGAGATTGTTCTTCCTGCTTATCCCATTTAATAATCTTCTGTGAATTAGCAGGTTTTGGGGGAAAAAATACAAAGTCTGCCTTCCTTAAACACTTTATGTTGTGTTTTTTCCATCCTGCAGCCCCTCTGGACCTGGGACAGAGCTGCTCCCTGTTCTCAGTTGCAGCAGATTCCCTCTTGCACAGGCTGGAAAACTCAGATGAAAGGAATATTGTGCAGGTTAGAGAGCGACCTCACTGGTGGGGAAACCTGGGGCTGTGGATGGAGATCAGAGGGAGCTGTACCAGGAGGAGATGGGAGTGCTGCTCTTGCTGTTGACCTGGTGTTAAGTGAGTCTTGGCCTTTTGAGTGCTCTCTGGTCAGCAGATGACACTTCCCCAGTGCAGAGGTTTTCTCTAGGACTCTCCTCTTGTGCAGGGGTGAAATGGGTGAAGTCTTCTCTGCCTGCTCCTCTGCCGGGTCAGGCTCAGGTTTCCAGCAGGGGCTGCCTGAGCCCTGTGTCTCCCTTCCACGTGGTAGTAAAGGGTCAATAGTAGCAGGCAAACAATGAGGAGGGATTACAAAACTCCTGTGAGTCAGGTTATTCTTTTGAAGCTGCTCATCTGGCTTTCAAACTCTGCATCAGGGTCTTTGTGTGCCTAACAGGGCAGGCCATCTCTTTATTCCTGTGCTGGGAAGGGACTGAACTCCAAGGGCCAGCCCATCTGCTCAGTCACTTTGTGCTGCTGAAATAAGCAGAGCCCCCCACTCGTCTCTCATCCCCCATCCCTAAAAAGGCAAAGGCCCTGCTGTGACAGCACCCCAGCCCCATCAGCAGCAGAGGAGACTTCTGAGCCACCATTTTCACCCAAGGCATGGGTAAAACCTGTCCAGACTGCCCTGGCAATGCCACAGCTCGTGCTCCTTCACTCACTTGCTGCTGGACGGAGGAAGGGACGGGGAATGTGCTGATGGTATCTGAGCTGTGGGAGCTGGCTCAGGGCAGCACAGGCTTTGCTCTGTTCTAGGCTTGGCCAGGCCCTGGGGGATTTCAGCTCCCACCCAGGGGAAAGGGTGAAAGGACGAGCACTGGGGTTCCTCCTCCGTCCACCCAGGAACTGGTGCGACTGGGAGGCAGTGGGGGTGTGCAGCTCTGGGGTGGGCACAGGGCTGGGCTCCTTTACCCCTACTCCCCCTCATTTTTATTTTGTCCCTGTTTCTTAAACTGTTTTGCTCTGTTTTGAGCACAAAGTAGGCACAGGCACCTCCTTCGGGTGGTGTAAGGAGGAAGAGCTGCTGCCTGGGTTAAAAGTGAGGACTGCAAGAGGGGGATCCAGCCCTGGGTGACGTGAGCCACCATGAGGACTTTGCTCTGACCTTCCCTGGCTCACTCATGAGCTGGTGGGGACAGACCCAGAGCCCTTCCTGCCTCCCTTCATCCCCATGGCCTTCCTGCTCCATTCATCCCTTGGGAAATGAAGGCAGGAGGAAGCGGGGAACCCGTGAACACAGCGTGGCTCAGAGCGGGTCACAGATTTGTGTGGGCTCTTTTATTTTCCCTGTTCACTGCACAAACTGAGGGGTTTTGGCTCTCTTGTAGTTAGTTCCCTTTTCAGCCTGGAGCTCCCGGCACCGAGTTCCTGTTAAGCACAGCCCTGCTTTGGGATGCTCCCAGCAAGCACCAGTCGCAGCCAGGACCCCAAAAATGCCCAGGAAGATAACCCCAAGCTTACACCGAGAGGAACAGCCCCGTGACCCTGCCCAAGAGGTGGTTACCTCCCCCCAAAAAAAGCCATTTTGGGGTGGGGATCACCAAAGCTTGCAGCATCTCCTGCTACCCGCGTCGGTGGGGTTAAGCACGTGCTGGCAGCCAGGGAGGGCCAGGGGACAAGAAGGGCTTTATTTCGGGGCACAGCCCCGATCCTGCGTGTCCCCCCCCCACGATGAATGCTGCCCTTGTTGGACACCGGGCACGCCTGGTCCCACCCCGCACCAGCAGCTCCGCGCCCCCCAGGCAGGGCAATGGCACGGCCAGCGAGATGACAGAAGTCCCCTCCAACGCTGCCAAACCGAGGCCGGTCGCCAGCCCCAGGCTTTTGTACGCCAAGATACACAAAACCCTGTCTTTAAGCAGCAGAAATTGCATCATTAATTACACAAACGAAGCCCTTGTGCTTGGCACGGCCACTCCGGCAGCCGGCGATGCCCCAGCCCGGAGCTGCTCGGGACAACCCCTTTCCATTTGGATCAATATTTCTATTTATCGATGTAAATTTCCCCTTTTTTGATGCAGTAAGCACATAAATATTCACCTTTTGAGGTTTAAAATCCTGGATAGGAACACGGTTTGCTGCTCCTTTCCGCGCTGCAAGGTGGACATGACCAGGGCAAAAGATGCCCCAGCCCCATCCACCTTCTCCCCATCAGCCAAGGAATTATTTTAGAGGTTCTTCATGAGGGCAGTTTCCTATTTTTTATCCAAAAAGGCTGTTTCTCAACCACCCATCATCCTCATCCACAGCTGCTTGAGTCACAGTGCCCCCTGATCTTGCCCAAATTTGAGCTCGTTCCTGGGAAATGGGCTGCTCCATCCCCACCCAGGGGACACCAACACGGGGGGGGTCACTGCCTGGGGACCCCACAGTATGGACATCCCTGTGGTGATTTATGCCACCCCACGAGAGATGGGGGGTGATGGGGCCACCTCTGCTTCATGTCCCACCAGGGAGACACCAGCTCCTGCTTGGGTCTGCCCAAATTAAAAGCTTTTTGGGGACAAGGAGGTGAATGTCACCTGGGGGTGGCCCAGGCAGGGCTTTACCTTCTAGGGGTGCTGGAGGGGGCCATCCTGAGTGCTTCCCTGCTCACATGTGTGGCCTATGGAAAGTACATGGTGCTCCATGGGGAGCACATCACCCTATGGAGAACACCCATGGCCCTTGGAGAGCATCACTGCTCCACTGAGAGCACGTGTAGCCCCACGGGGAGCACCCATCAGGTCATGGGGAGCACCCTTGCAACATGAAGAGCACCTATCACTTCATGGGGAGCTCCTGTCGCCCCATGGAGAACATCTATTGCCCCATGGAGAGCAGAGGTGACCCCATGGAGAACCCCACAACCCGGCTTTCATAAAACCACTGGGTTGAGACGCAAAACCCTCCCAGCAGTGCACAAGCCTCAGGTATTATTTTGCATGTGATGAACTTAAGGGAAGGTTTAAGGAAAGAAACTCTCCTCCAGCTGCTTCATCGGCAGTTATTGGAGGGCACTGAAAGAAGTTTTTCCCAATATCTCACCTAAACCTCCCCTGGCATCACTTGAGGCCAATCCTCCTTGTCCTGTTGGGTGTAACTTGTGAGAAGAGATCCACCCCCACCTCACCTCAACCTCCAAACTTGGTGTCATCTGCAAACTTCCTGCGGGTGTGCTCGATCCCCTCATCCAGGTCATTGATAAAGATGTTAAAGAGGAGTGGACCCAAAACTGAGCCCTGGGGAACACCCCTTGTGACCGGGATTTAACTCCATCACCACCCACCATCCAGTGTTTGATCCAGCAGAGCGTACGCCCATCCAAGCTTTGTGCAACCACTTTGTTCATGAGAACGCCGTGGGGAACAGTATCACTTTAATAACCTTAAAAAATATATATCCTATGTGACATGTCCCTGGGAAAAAAACCCCAAAAACCCCAAAAAAGCAACCCAGGCTCCCTCTCAGTTCGAATCGGTGTCGTGGCGCTGCCTGACCCTGCGGGATGAAGGGGACCTGCTCCTGCTCCTGCTCCTCTTCCTCCCCTTGCGTGGCGGGGACGGGTGCCGAGAATGGCCATGACGGCGCGAGGGGCTCCTGCCCGAATCCCGGCTGCTGGAGGAGGACGCGGTGTCGTGGCGGCGCCGGCGCGAGGTTTCGGGGCACCGCTGGGTTTTCCGTCGGTGGTGCCTATGGGAATGGAGACAAATCCATTTGGGGGATGAAAAAGGGCCCAGGAGATCACAGAATATGAGGAGTTGGGAGGGGCCTGGAAAACTCATCCAGTGCAACCCCTGCCAGAGCAGGATCACCAGAGCAGTCACACAGGAACACGGCCAGGGCTTTG